TCGGTCCATGGTGGAGTAAAAAACCTAAATTTGTATCACATCCCTTCCTGATGTACCTATATATAATTTACTATCAAATATTGCAAATATATATACGATAGACTGGCTCCTAAAAGTGAATTTTCAATCGCCCGGCAAGAAAAAGTTTCCTTTTAGCCCTTATGCTTCCAATATAAAATTTGGTGGCGATCGGATAAAATTTAGTGGCCACGCACAGCCGGGAGAGTATGCGTGAAATATAGGAAAAATGGGTTGTTTTATTCCCAATCACAGAAATCGAGACGTTTCCAATTAGTTTACTATAATGCCCGATTTTCATTGAAATTTCCCATTCGGAAAGCTATCAAAGTCCAAAATCAGTTAAAAATTGAGAAAGTTGAAGAAATAATATTACGAAAACAAATTCAGATAATTTGGAAATAATTAAACCGTGCAACATAAACAAAAAAATTTCACGAACAAAAAAATTTCACACGAAAGAATCGATGTACTAACTTTGGGCCAAATATAGTAAAACTGCGTTTTTAGTTTTTCACTCTGACGTTAGGTTTTTTTTCAACGGACTTTGAAATTTTAAAGGTATGATTAATTCAAAAAATTATTTTAAAAAATCAGTGAAAATGCGTTTTTAATAAATTTTATCTTTTTAAGTCAATAAAGCTTGCAGGACGAAATTCGATAATGAGGTCGTATATTAGTCTTCAAACAATAATTAAAAAAAAATATTGCAAATTTTCAAGGATATTTAAGGACAAAATTTGTGAAGGAACATTTTCCATACCCATTCGTCCTTATGCACCAAAAAATTTATTGTGTTATAATTCTACAGAATTTTTTCTTTTATATGATACTCGTATTGTTGCCCTACACTGCACTGAATTTTTTAAAAAATAATTTTTTGCAATAATCATATTTTTTAAATTTCAAAGTCCTTAAAGAAAACTTAAGATCGTGGTTTTACTAAAATTTACCCATAGTCTCGCGAATATATTAATTTTTTTGTCTGAAAAATTTACTGTCGCACGGTGTTATTGCTATTGCAAATAAAGGTGTAGCTGTTATTTAAATTAAAGTCTTTTAACTCTTTTATTAGCATCATAATTTTAAATAAACATATGGTGAAATGAAGTATTTGGTCGCGAAAAACCATTATTTTCCCATTTTCAATTTCAGTTAAATTATTTTCCACTTTTACTCGCGTATAATTGCTAAAATTATTATGAGAGTGATAAATAAAAGTATGTAATCATATACATATCTATGCCATTGTGCTGATAATTATCTGCAAATGTAAATATTAATTTAAAAAGTTTGTTGTTAAATATAATTACGAGCATTATATTTCAGAATGAAAAATTACACAGAAGTAGACACAACGCCAAAGTATGACAGAAATTCGTTCCTTAGCTGACGTAGTGCAATCGTAATCGTGGCAAATATATTTGAATCGCTTTGTACTTCCCTTTTGCTGGATAAAAGACTTATTGCCCGGGGGAATGAAATAATGTTTGGTAGTTGGCAAGGCTGAAAAAAAAATTGAGTCATCTCATTTATTAAGAGTATGAATCATGCGTCGTTTTCGTATGTACTTGTTTCCGCTAATCAGATTTTTATCTCTAATTAGGCGCTGCAAAATTTTACAGAAGTTATATGAAATGTATAATACCTCTGTTATTATCTATTTCTTTACTTTTTGCTTACACATTTAATGTTTGCTTTGTTATCAAAAGAAGCGAAATGACTTACTATTTACCTAATACTATTAATTCAAGTACATAGTACCGGTACGCCATGCCATGCTTCGATAAGTAAAATATTTACATTTTTTATTTGTCGGATACTTAAAATAGAAGAGCATAGTTATAATTTAAGCAAATACTCCACCAGTTATAATCAAGTTTGGGGATTATTGAGCTTTTAGACTTGAATGTTAAAAAAAATTCAATATAATTCAGTCTTAGCCTCGCCAAAGACGGGGCAAGCCAGTATAAAGTATTGAGGCTGTAAGGATTAATTGCACTTTTCTTTCATATTCCCTATCAAAAGCAGAACCTTTGCCTGCGTAATAAGCTCCTTTGGCCGCCTCATTTCCAGCTGTGCCAGAAGAAGCTTGCAATTGTTGAGGTCTTATTTTTCGTTCAAAGTTCGTTGAGCGTAAATGAGGCACATCTGTAAAAGAATGTCAATGGCGCCCCCATTCGCTCCTTACCCTTCTCGCCAATTTGTTATTCCTGCATTTGCGGTATGTCTACAGGTTCTTCTATGGCAGTCACTTTTCGATTTTTATGTAGATTTCATGGTAGTAGACCCGCCACCAACCCTTCCATTTATTCCCGATCCATCCGTGAAAAAGTCGGAGATCCCTGACCTAGAGAGAAAGCTGACTTTGCCATACACTACTAATAGCAATGAGGGCAGCTCCTATAAGGTCCAAGTATATACTTGACCCAAGGCGAATACCTCCAATCTAGGGAAGAGTTGCGTTTGGAATCCCCTATTTCTAAGTAAATTAAAACAGTCTGTCTTGCTGAGATTGAAAAAGAAACATTTTTGTTTGTACCTTAAAAAAGAAAAATATATATACATATGTACATATATATATTTAATCACATTTGATTTTTGGATTTTTTTTTCTTTTCATTATTTTTTACTTAATTTACTTTTAATTTTTAAAAAGAAAAATAGTTTTTTAATCACATTTAATTTTTATAAATTTTATTATTTTTTCTTTTTTCTTTTTAGTTTTTTAATTTAGTTTTAATTTTTAAATTTTATTGTTCAAAAAATATTTTTCTTAAGTTTCATTTAATCCTTAGGAACTTATTTTCCTTTTTTAGTTTAATCATTTTTTAATTTGATTTTCTTTAAATTTTTAGACTTAGTTTTGAAAGGAAAAAAATATTTAGTTTTTCTCATTTTATTTTTTGAAACTTATTCTATTTACATATTTATTTAATTTAATTCTTAATTCAATTGTTTTATAAAGAAAACTTTGTCTATTTTATTTTTTTAAATTTTTTTGAAAACTTATTGCTAAAGGACAAATAGAAGTCCTCCTCGTTAGCAGATCGTTTAATTAGTCTTTCGAAAGACAGAAAAGAGTTTTCAAAAGATAGTTTCCAGAATTGAATTGAACAATTACGTTGAGTTGAAAGACAGTTGCCAGTTTTGCGCTGTAAGTCTCATCAAGATTGTTCCTTTATCAAACTATTTAGATGCCACTAAGAGAACTTGACGATAGCATTGATCCGCATGTAGATATTTTATTTATTTATATTTGTCTTAAACCTTTCTTATTTGAAACCCATACTAAAATATTTGATTTAAATTGCTAATTAAACTGATTTTATGTTTATAAAAAGGAAGCAACTCTCTTCAAAATTATTTTTTAACATTTTTTTGACTCCCACATTGTTGTAGTATCTCATCTAACTTAACAAATAGTTGATTTTAACTTTGGAAAAGTGGAAATCCCCTTCATAAAAATATCCTGTCTGTTAATCCAAGTCATAGCCTATAAGTGAGCCAAATTTCATTGAGATACATCCAGCCGTGTTGGCATGACAGAGCAAGAAACATATAAACCCACTAACTCACAAACTTTCACATTTATAATATTAGTAGATTTGAATAAAACGGTTTTAAATTTCTAAACGGGTGGAAACTCTCTTCAAAAAAATTTTCGAAAGAAAGCTTTCGTTTAGCCTTTTAATTAAATTGTATTTGAATTTTTTAACGGGTGGCAACCCTATTTAAAAATATTTCGAAACATATTTGTCTTAAGCCTTTCTCATTTTGTACCCGTACTAAAATATTTGATTTAAATCGTTAATTAAATTGATTTTTGTTTATAAAAAGGTGGAAACACTCTTAAGAAATAATAAGATAAATCGTTTTTAAACTGCTTTTGTTTGACACCTACATAGTTGTAACAATTTATCTAACTTTGATAAACAGTTGGTTTTAACTTTTGAAAAAAGTGGCAACCCCCTTCAAAAAATATCCTATATGTTAATCAAGGTCATCATAGCCTATATGTATGCCAAATTTCATTAAAATACCTCCAGCCATTTTACCATGAAAGAGCTACAAACAAACACACTCACTCCCAAACTTTCACATTTACAATATTAGTAGGATAAAAAATTACTGGCGTGGGATTCGATCCCACGACCCCGCGGATCACTTAATCCGCATTACTGCCATCTGTCAGATGAGATCAACTTTGCCGATAATGCAGATTAACGTTGCCGTCTGTCTATGCTATGATTTAATTCTAAAGCTAATATACGTACATACATAGTTTGTAGCATAAATTTGGGTCCCAGCTTGGGTCTTCATTTCTAGTCCATGCCGAGGCAGCTGCCTAAAAAGGAGAAACATTCATTTTTTCTAAACCTAAGACAACACAAAGTAGGACTCATATGTCCATCTTACACCCGTTATGCACGATTTTCTCAACTTACATACTTACGTTCTCACATGTCCTCTCTTTACAGTTCCAGTCACTAATATGGATTGGCCTCACAATTATGGGAATTTTGGCATACACCTGCAATATGCCGGTTAATCCGATATTCTCTTTCGGATCGGTAATACAATATGCCTTTTACACGCTATACTTCAAAGGCGACTGCATACCTGCCGACTATCAACAATTCGATACAACGATTATCAAATCAGTTGAGACTATACTAACACCAGAAGATGTGCTGATTTGGGATTGTGTTTACCTAGGCGTGGCGGCGTGTTGGTTCATTACATCGCTGTTGCTGTTGATATGTAAGTGCCTATCTAACATTAACAGTTCACCATAATACAATTAAAATATAAATATGTATGTATGTTATTTCAGTTGTGAGAAAAGACAACGTCAAGTCTAGTGGTCACGTCGTAAGTGCCTGGCTCGTAACAATTTTCTGCATCAACTTGATGGATCTAGGCTTGGGCATAATATTTGGCATTGATTATAGTAAATTCAATCTTGCCGCTTATAATTACAATTTGTCTACGATAAATGCGGGGGAAGTTAATGCACAAGCAGCTCAGTTAGTGGCTGCGGCAGTAGCTGCTGTATCTTTGATGATTATCTCACTGAAAGGATTCGTATTATGGCTTATAAATTTCGGTTTAATGTGTTATCTGCTAGCGCTTGTAATGCCCATGGTCAGCGATCGAGACAGCAATGTGAGTATGACTAGAAATATATGTATGTATGTAAATAAAACCGTTTTTCGAAACACTACTAGAGTTCACTATTTGATGCGAAAATGCGAACGGCAAATATTAGCGTTTGTTTTGTTGCTTTGCTGTGCGTTTGTGCGAAACGACGCCATAAGGGTGCCATATGTTTGTTGCAAAAAACTGCCAATTTTCGCCAGTTTCGCTCAAACGCAAAAATTATTTTTAACTTATCGATTTCAACGTTACTAGGTACTCTGCAACCCTTGGTTGGATGCGATAAAAATTAATTCTTGTCCTATACTTATTTATTTAGTTAACTTTTTAAAAGAGAGACTTGTACTTTGACCACAAAATATTTATGTATATCGTGTGATAACACTATGATAACAACTATGAACATGAACTATGAGCAACTATGCCATTCTTAAAATTATTAGTGACGTCATTTGTTAAGAATTTTTTTTTATGAAAACATTTTGGTAATTACTAACAATTAAGCGGTTGCCTATCTGAAAGAAGTATGAACAAAGGAAAAGACAAAAACAAAACTTTGATAAAACATTTGTTAAATGATAAATATTTACATTTTTCGTAGACATATTTATTTGCACTCTATTTGTACATACACGCTTACTACATATATTCATTAGAGTACCTCACAAAAAAAAAAATAATAATAATAATGCGGTTTTTCCACTGGAATCATAAAATGTATTATATTTTAAGATTTTCGCTAAAATATTTCGGAAAAAATGTTAGGATTTACGCGAGCAAATTTTCCAAATTAAAACTTTTCTATCACCTGAGGTGATTTTTTGGAAAAAATATTTTTTACAACTAATTTTATTTATTTTGGCGGTAATTTGAAATCGGTCTATCTTGCGTAAATTGTTATATTTTTCTGAAATATTTTAGCGGAAGTCGTAAAATAAATCTATCAGATTTCATAATTCCGATGGAATATCAATCAGTACCGACTTTTTTTTTGTATGGAGAGTGATGCACCGTAGTATGCATACATACATATCGTCGTTTAAAGTACAAAACCGCGTAATTGACATTTGTTGCCAAAAATTGGGTTTGCTCACACAAGCTCTTGGCTCAATCCCAATCCATTCGTCCTGAAATATATTGCTTTATAAAGAAGAGAACTATTTTGAATTATGAGATTTTTACTCTCTAGAAAATAATTTATGCTCACATAGATGATTTTGCATTTTGTTGATACGTGGTTTTGTAATTTAAAAGACGATATGTACTATGTACATACTACATTTGAATAGCTATGTATGTGTACATATGTACTTAACTACCTAAATATATTTTCTTTCCAAATGCCCGCCGTCTACGTGGTGTACTTTCTTCGTTCGTTTGCACAAATGATTAAGACCTTAACTTTGGCGCAAATTAATTAGCGAAAATTTTTTTTTTATTATCACGTATTTTCGACAGCTCATCGATAACAATGGAGACGGGTGAATTTGTATTTTTTGATTCTTCTATTTTTGATTCACCAAGAAATTTGTTTTATCTACATATATACACATATTTGAAGAAATGATTAACTCATATGATTTTATTCCTACGCCTCAAATTTACTTGTTCATTGTTTTGCAAATGTAATGCGATTTACATGTTTTATGTTGAGTTTAATTTGATATCATTTCTAAACTATTCTACTTTATTTATTTTATT